ACGAGCGTGGAAATCAGATCATTGTTAGATGCAGCGTTTTCTTATGGTTTTTGCGTCAATATACATAGCTCTATGCGGCGGTACTGGGCGACGGTAACTCGCGCGCCCACTTTTGAGGCAGCGTTCATACATCACGATGATGCGTCGACGCGCTACCGGTCGCGATAGAGCGACTCTGCTATAGATGGGAACGCGTTCATAGACGGGTATGGACCTGCTGTACAGTACTGAAGAATAGGAAAGTACCAGACCGTGTGATTAGGCGTTATAAAATAACAGCGTTGCCGTCTCACCCTACAGACCGCTTCGCGGACCTTTATCACGCCTAGTCATACTGTCGCAGTCTGGTACCCCAGCCTTCCCCCCCTCCACTCGCGTTCTCCCGTATCAGTACACTTGCGGGTGGCGCCGATCTAACCCCATCTATGGGGGCGTTTAGTCTAGAGTGTCGGCCACATTGGAAGGCTGTTGCAATGGTAAAGGGGCGACTGGCGTAACTCGTCATCGTGGTGTGCGCTGCCCAAGCTTGAGCCCGAGAGAAGGAAGAAATCATGACTTCGGTGAGAAGTCGAGCACGCGCGGCGAAAATCGTCGCGATTGCCCTATACTCGAAGCGCGGCCCCCTCCAACTGCGTTCACGACGTAATTTTGTTTTGGGATTTCTATTCTACCAGCTGCTAGCAGTTTTGTCACCCACCAATAATGTTCTAGTCCCATACCCTGCATCATATCTTGGAATCAACGTCTAGACGATGCTGTGACCCGCGTTATGGACTCGGTGGCCCTCCCACTCTTATGGGATCTTATCAGCTGGTATCACTCCCTGTCACCCACCAATAATGTTCTCGTCACAGCTCCTATATAACTCCTTGGAATCAAGTTTCCCACAGCTACTGGAAGGGTCGCTATGAATTTCGTGACAGACACACCGACACACACCCACACACACACATCACAATACAACAGACACACACACAGACACACACAGTTAGCGGATTATATATAGGAGATGCTCATATCTCTCAAAAGGAAACCCAAAGCAGCAATGGCAGCAGGAAGTTTCAGGCTCAGGAGCACTTTCCTCCTTCCCTTTGCGTTGCGCCCGGTAACCTGTTTCTCATTTGTGCTTATCTGTTGGTAGTCAAAATTGTCTCTTTGTATGGTTTCCATTTCGAAGCGCGTATCCCTGAGTTAAGCCTCACGTTTATTGGACTTGACCACAACAGTCCAATATTTCTTATCTCTCCGCCAGTGTGTAAGTTTCAGAATTCTTGTTTGGTACACCATGATATGCGTTTCCATGGGCAGCTCCATAAGTCTTGCTGTTGCATAGGCGTAACTCCCAACATTATTAATTTATAAATTACCATTAGCGAGTGACGGGTAAAGCCTTTTCACCTATCCTAGTAGCACTAGTCAACCTCCTCTGTGTTCCCTTACCAAATTCATTGGGTTCGAAATACAGTTTGTTCAATGAAAAGTTTTTCAGCTTTCATTCGATCAATTCTTGGGTTCATCCTGTTCAGTACATCTTATTGTATCGTGAACACGGGAATATATTATAAGTTTGTAAGGCCGCTTCGTCAAGAAGAACGTGAACTATTAGAACGAGAACTGATTGAGGCAGATCGCGCTGGCTTCAAAGTGAATTTAAAGTAAGGTTTTCAAGTTTCTTTCTGCTCCATCGATAATTGATGCTCAGGGAATAATTTCACCATTAGATATATAAACATGTTGTCTTCGAGCAGTAAATAATAACCGATGGAAGTTTGATTGAATGGGGCAATTTTTAGCATATGTTATTGGGAAGACACCGACTCTGTGGGGATGGGGAATTCTTCACCGACAGCACTTCTTGTTTTGTCGTAAAATATGAAAAGCCAGTGTCCCCGCAAGAACCTTGATCTGTCTACATAAAAGAATGACAAAGTGTAATTATTTTCAGATGAGCTTCTCCCACATTATGTCTTCTTTGGTCTCACGCTGGGAGGGGCTGTTTTTCTTAGGGTTCGCATCTGGCGCCGGATTCGAACTGTTCAAAATCTATTTCTCATTCAGAGGTGAGCGAAACTTCAGAATATGACTCTTGGTAAACGAGACTATTTATTCCCATATGCCGCACCTTTTCAATACTATTTGCGAGATTTCTGATTGTGAGTTATCCTTGTCCTGAGACGGACAGTTCTGGACTGTGCTTTGTGTTCAGTGCTTCGGAGGGCATTAAGGGAGCGGAACGTTCAATAACACCTGTTCAACTTGTGTAGGATAACTAGAGGCTTCTGCTGCATGATAAAGGTGTCGCAGTTTCGTGCCATGGATGAACCCTGAGCCACTTAACAACCGCAATATTATTCTGTATCAGTCGACGTTGAAGTTTTGCACATTCGTGGTCACGCCCAGTCAGTTTCTCCAGTAACGTTTTTCCTTTCATCCTCCTGCTTTATAAGAGCGTTATCACTCTTGGTCCATCTTTT